TGGGTTCCACTTCTCGGTTTCCTGTCTTCTGCATCCATGAACCCTTTGTCAAAGAGCCCTGTGCAGGCTGGTGCTGGGTCACTGTCTGACGCCCTTTGTGGAGTTTTCAGTGTCTGTGTGCAGCGGTTCATCCTCAGGACATGCGTGGTCTCCACAAGAAGTGTGTTTTGCTTGGAAGGATGAGGCCCTGGACCTCAGCAGGCTTCAGGCTAGAGGAGTTGCAGCGTTCAGGGAGAGCAAATAAACACAGTTGGCAAAGTAGGGCATTAGCTCTATTTATTCACCTGCACTCTTGAATTAAACCTCACAGCACTGGGTGGAGCCACTGGAGTCCCAAAACCTCGAGGAAGCAGTCAAGGACACGACTGCCCTGCCTGTGTTGGGCCGGAGGCCATGGTGGCTGCCGGGAGCATGGAGCCGTGTTCCTGCTGAGCTCCAGGCTCAGGGCAGGAGCTGCCAACTGCACAAGCTGCTGAGGCCTCTCTCCTCACGCTCACTCAAGTCCGAGACCGTGGAGCACACTTAACTTGGGTGAGGCTCACATCTCTTCTCTAAGAGAATCTCTCCTGGGTAGGTCTTTAAAGATATGTGAAGTAGGAGCAGGAAAGTGTTTCCTAAATCCTTTTCACTGCCTAACTCAAAGTTCAAGTAAATAAAGGATGCTTCTAAAGATTTTAAAGGTGCCTTTCAGAAAATAAATGTGGAACGCTATTGACGCTGACTTCATCCCTGTGGTCAAGATGAAAGTGGGCTTCTGACGCAGACAAGCTAAGCGTTAGCCTTTCATTTGTGCCAGCTCCTTGCTTCTGTGAGTCTGTTCCTCTGGGCTTCTGACTCGGGCATGCCTGAGAGTGAGGAACAGCTCCTGGTTAGTCTTTGAGCTGGAGTCAGCCTTGCTGCCTGGGCCCTTTCGTGGGCCAGGACAGACGCCTCTGCTGCTCTGCTGTCTGTAAACCTTAGCACTCCCTATGCTCTCTAAAGTGCCTCCTTCTTCTCGCCTTGATGGAGCTGCTCCAAATCCCTCGCTGAACTCTGGATGAGGCAGGAGGTGGGCAGCAGCTCCTGGGGGCTCACCCCTGGCTCTCAGCTGCGGCCGGTGCTGGGCACTCGGGCCATGTGTTAGGGACGTGCCTGTCCCACAAGTCACATGGTGCTTCTCTAAAGGCTGTGCAGTAGCGGCTTGAGCCTCGGCTGCAAGGTGTCTTGCCCTGAGCGCGCAGAGCTGGATCCCGGACCCGAGCTACTCCGCTGCAGCCCCGAGGCTTCCACTGCTGATATTCCAGCCCTGTCCGTGTCTGTCCCCCATGCCGGCCTTTCCTTGTACAGAGAAGCTGGTCTCTGCCACAGGGCCCACTTGCAGTATGCTCAGGACCCCAACACCAGGGTGGAACCCGTCCAGAGGACGCTGGGGAAGCATGGGCAGGGGGCCTTCCTGGGGGAAGCCATTTCTAATCAGAGGTGGTATAACAAACGTTGCAGGGAGTCAAAACAGGGAAGTTAATAGGCAGTAGAATACAGAGCAAAGCAAGGAGCTGGGCTGAGTCTGGGCAGATGCCCAGGACGAGCGCCGCAACCCAGTCTGGGAGGTGACAGGAACACAGAGAGGAGAAAAGGGGCAGCCTTAGCTACTGAGATCCTGGATCAGGAGGCTCAGGCCCTGGAAATGAGGGGACTGCTGTCAAGACCCAGTCCAGAGATGACCAAAAGTGGCACCAAGGAGACGCCCCAGTCCAGCTGACACCTGGCAGACACAGGGGCGCAGGGCGAGGGTTCCACCATGCCGTGATGATCCCCTCAGCTGTAGCCCAGCGAGTGTGACATTTGTGTTCTGGGGTGCCCGGCTATCTTCTGGAGCTGGATTCCAGGCCCTTCTCCTCTCGACAAAGAGTGGAATGAGATGACCAAAAAGCAGCAGATTTGGAAAAGCGAAAGTGAAGAGTGGGCGAGAGACCAGCCTTGCAGAGCGAGCTTGGGTCAAGCAGAAGGGAGGAAGCAACACAGAAAAGCACCCTGGAGAAGGCAGGCGGCGAGGGCGAGGAGGCCGTGGTCGCAGCTCCCCGTGGCGTCTGGGCCCTTCGTGCTGCCCTAATCAGAGGAACCTGAGGGAACTTCCTCACGCAGGATCGAGAGGCGGTGCTGAGGCCCTGCAGCTCGGCTGGCGTCACATTTGGTCCTTCCTTTGGGGAAGCCCACTTCAGGGAGCTCCTGCTCGTGTACTCTGGGCTCTTGTAACGCACAGGTCACCCTGCGTCCCCAGCCAGCTTTGCCATGCCCTACTCTGCTGGGTTTGTCTCACTACCTTATGAAAAACACAGGTGGCTGAGTCTGTGTGGACCGAGGGGAACATGGGGAAGCTGTTTGTTAGGCTTAGAACTCACAGAAAGGCTCTGAATCCTCACAGACTTGGGCAGAGGCTGGTGCGATGGCGCCACCTCCAGGAGCTTCCTGCAGCCACAAAGCCTGGAGGACAAAGATGGGGCGTCCTCTGGCCTTCAGGGAAGAGGGTCCTGCTAACATCTCAGCTCCAGGTTGCAGAACTACACACTTAGCGGGTATAGTGTCTGCTGATTAAGCACCAACTGTGACGATTTGTGCTAGCTGCTCAGGAAAACCGTGAGTGTCTTAGCACACTGTGGTGCGGCCTTTTCTTAGTTTTTAGCCCCCAAGGCAGGTAGTAGTCTTGTTTCTCTTCCTGTAGAGTGTTTCTACCTGCGCTTGGCCATAATATAAATTAAATTAAGTAGAACAGTGATGGTGAACCTTTTACAGCTTTTGTGATACCGCCTGGCGTGGCCCACACGTGTGGCTTCTCCAGCTCGGAGGGGCACAAACTTGTGCTGTTTTTTGGTTCTTTTAATCAGCGTAACATACATGAAGCTCATTTGTGTTGTTCATAGCTGCGTTTTGGTCCTTCTTGTCACTGGATGAAGCTCACAGCACACATACTCCATTTCTGCAGACCATCGACAGATGTTCAGGCTTTTCCCTCCGCCCACATTGCTGTGATCACTGCGTCTGCCTGGAGCTGTCCCTGTTGCAGACGCTGTGTGGCCAGCTGCCGCGCCCGTGGCACTCCCTTAGCGTTCCTGTGAGCGCGTTTCCACCGGCCTCCTTACGGACGACACGGGCCCTGGAATGCCTTCATGTCGGTTTCTCCTCTCATCTTCTGTGTGGCTGCTGGAGAATTTAAATATTTATTTTCAAACTTTCAAAATTCATCCTTTAAACCTCCCCTCTTACAGCTGCTCCAGCACATGGGGGCGACCTCTCCTACAGCCTTATCTTACTTTCTCCCACTCCTTATTTGTTCCTGTGGGGTGTGTGTGTGTGTGTGTGTGTGTGTGTGCGTGTGTGTGTGTTGGGTGTGAGAGAATAAATTCCTTGTTTTTATTTTAACCAAAAATATTTTGTCCTCATTCCTAAACTGAAAATTAAGATGCTTATAGGAGTGTAGATTGACACTCTTATATTTTGAACATAGTAATCCTCTGACACTTCCTGTCTCTGATTAGAAACCGGTGTCCATGGAATCTGTGCTTGGAATAGTAGGTGGTCTGCTATTCTTCCCAGTGTCATCTCCTTTTGGCATAAACGTGCTGTGTTCAGGTAAAAACACGAATGCGGGCTCCGCCTGCCGGCGCCAGCAGCTCTCCGTACAGGCCCACGGCTTTGCCTCCGGCAGGTGCTCCGCTCCACCCCGCGCACTGGAGTTCAGACCGCCTCCGGCTGAGGGACCCGGTTCCCGGCTAGCACTTTCCATTTTGCTCTGCGTGTTCTTCTTTCCTCGCTTTTCTGCCGAAGTTTTTTCAGTGTGTGTTGCGGCGTCACTTTCTCCTACGTTGCTGTTGAGTGTGCCCGTAGGTTTTCTTGCTTTGGATGCACACTCTAATTTGCACGCCGCTGCTCCTCCCACGTGGTCAGCGGCCATCCTGTGCCTCACTGCGTGGGCCTTGGACGGCCACCACGGAGGCCCTCGCAGTGCGCTCTCGCTGCCGCTGTGAGTCTCCCTGGGGAAGGCTGCTCGCCACGTGACCTGTGCGTTCAGCAGCTGTGTCGTTTCTCTTGGAGGGTCCTGGGCCACAGGGCTGCCCCAGCTTTCGCGGGGGCGGGGTTGCCTGCTATTTACTTTGTGGGTTTACCTCAATCTGGACAAGACTCTCATCAGCCTTTTGGCTGAGGGGCCGAGTCTCCGTGATGGCTCGGACTGACACCTCTTGACTGTCTTCTCCCCCTCAGCCCAGCTCCCTGTGCCCTCAGGCTGCTTGTAGCATTTTCCTCTGGGCAGTTGGGGTGCAGGCTGTCTTGGCTATTTTCTTGTCACTGGTGTGTTGCTCATGGTTTTGGCAGGTTTGGTCCATTGTCAGTGATCCCCAAGGGAGGAGGTGCAAGCTGGGAGCCCGGGAGCAGGGTGGCACAGAGGAGCCAGGAGGCAGATCCCCCATCCAGGTCCCGGTGCAGCAGGCACCTCTTCCTGCCAGGTCCGACCTCCCAGTGTGCATTCGGCTGCAGGTTCTTCAGAAGGCAAGCCCACCAAGGGGCGTGGAGTCCCCAGGGCCTGTCGCTTCTGGAAGCCCTGCTTCTGAGTGCTCTCTAGGCCTGAACCGGAGCGGGTTGTAGCATTGCAGGGAATAAAATATGCCCAGCTGCTGGCCAGCAGAGGGGTCATGTGCACCCCCCACACGTCTCCTGTCCTGGGTGCGGGGTTGTGCTGTGAGGTCCGCCTCTGCCTGTTTTAAAGGCCCTGGAGCCGGGTCCAGTTCCAGCCACTGGCCTCAACCGCCCCCTGAGTTTCCTATTTCAAGTCTGGCTCTGCGCCAATTCCCCTGCCTCTTCCCCTCCCCGTGCCTCCCCCCACCGCCCTTTGTAGCAGAGAATGTCTGGTTCAGTATATCTGTGTGCAGAGGGTGGAAGGACAAGGTCTGTCCTCTCCCCCATACCCTGACCAGAGGTCTGGCCACACTTGCACACTGAACATGCGCTTTGTCTTTGGTTTCTTTCAGCCAGCTACGTTTCGAACCCCATTTGCAAGGGCTGCTTGTCGTGCTCCAAGGACAACGGATGCAGCCGGTGCCAACAGAAGCTGTTCTTCTTCCTGCGGCGGGAGGGCATGCGGCAGCATGGAGAGTGTCTGCACGCCTGCCCCGCGGGCTACTACGGGCACCGCGCCCCTGACATGAACAGATGCGCACGTGAGCACGGCCTGCCCTCGGGTTGCTGTCGGGGGTGGGCTGGGGGTGGGCTGGGCTGGTGCCGCTCCGAGTGGTTGGAGAGGCTGGAGGTGCCCCAGCGCCACCTGGCAAGCTGGAGTGGGGTGGTGCACATGTGCATCCCACGGGGACACATGTGTCTGTCTCTGTTGAGACCGAGTATTTCCACCACAGGCTGTCCCACGAGTGCAGGTCCCACGGCATCTGGGCCTGTGTGGGGAGCTTCGCTTTGCTTGGCCACAGTCTCTCAAGTTCTTTCTCTTGTACCTGTGTAGTGCACCTGCAGCTAAATATTTGCATTTTAGGCTTCTGTAAAGCACTACTCCCACTAAAATATAACTAGAATACTTAGTTTTTTTCGAAGTACTCTGTATTCTATGCTTAACAATTAAAAAAAAATGTCAAGGAGAGACATTTTGTGTCTAGAAATGAAGGTTTGCCCTTTGGTCATCTAACTCAAAAATCTGTCCTAGACTGAGTTTACCTTGTAAGTCGGCGGCAGTGGAGAGCAGCACTGTGCAGCCTGGGCTCTTGCAGGCCCCTCTCCTGTGTCTCCCGCACATTCCAGTCAGCTCAGGCAGCCTTCAGGGAAGAGTAGAGCTGCAGCTGCACTACCAAGGATGACACCAGGGAGGGCAGAGCGGTGGGGGTGTGAGGCAGGTCTGCAAGGACAGAACCATGTGTGGCGCGAGTCCATCTTGCCTGGCCTGCCGCTGGGCAGGTGTCGCAGCCTCTGAGGACTTCCTTCCATGGATAGCTGCTCGTTGTCCTCGGCCCCTGTATCCCTAATGTCCGGTGTGCCCTCAAGCCATGGTGACAAGCAAAGATGTCCTTGCATTTTACCCAGGACAGGGAAGCAGGGGACCTGGGTGCAGAGAGGCTGTGGTGCGGAGGGTCGGGTGCCAGCTGGGGAGGGCTCTGGGCTGGCCGAGGACTGAAGGTTCAATTGGCTTAGTGAGGATGGGTGTGAGTACATCGACCACCTTCCTGAGACTGCTCTGTGAGGAGGGCAGAGGGGACAGTTGCAGAGCAGGAGACCTCTGCCGTCACAGATTGAACTCCTGTTCCGTAGTGAGCGAGCTCATGGGTAGTAAGCCCAGAGGCTTTGAAATAGCATCCAGGAGTCTTGGAAGTCAGTTGTACCACGGGAGGAAGGATGCGAATGCAGCCTGAGGTTTCTGGCTGGGTCTGCGAGTGGACAGTTTTGCCAGGTGTAGAGGCGGAAAGCGGTGGGCCCAGAGGGATTTTTGACTTAGGTTCATTTTGGGGAACTGCCTGGATTGCAGGGTGGGAGAGCATAGCTCAGAGGAGTGACAGTGTGTCAGTGAGCTACTGCGGAGCTGTGCTTGTCCTCAGGGGTTGAGCGGGGCTGAGACAGCAGGGGACAGCCCATCCGCAGGAGCGGGCCACCTTGACCGGTTTCCTGTCTGTTCTGCAGACCTCCCAATGGGATTAGAGCCGCTGGCCATGGGTGCTTCCCATCCTGACCCTCAGAGCTGGGAAGACGGATGGGAGTGTGGGTAGACAAGGCAGCCGGTGACAGGCTAGGTGTGCAGGGGCCCGAGGTGATCCTCCTCTCAGAAACACAGTGCCTGGAAACTGGCTTTGGGAAGCGAATCTCCTCCAAGCAAGGCCAGTAGGTGCTGCCATGGGTGCCGGTGCCTGCCCACCTGGAGGATTTCACTTCTTACCTTGGCTGAGCAGAAGTGCGTCTTCGCAAGATGCTGCGCAGCGTGGGTGGGGGAAATGGCTCATTGCTAAGCAAGGCTCTGGACAGCTGTGGATCCTTGTAGTACGTGTGAATCTCATGGATTCACTGCAATCACTGAGAGTGTATTCCTTCTAGAGGACGAGGAAGATTTCAGTGTGAAAGGCAGTCACAGACAGAGTCTAGCACAATGTGTAGTGTTTGTAGGAAGACTATCACCTAAGCAACAGCAGCTTGGAATTACTGGGCACTGGCTGGCCTACTTCCCGATGTGCAGGGCAAGGCCCAGGCACATCGGGAAGGACACTCATGTGTGGAGCGCTGGGTGGCGTCGATCTCTTGGCATGGAGTGTGATGCCCTGAGCCTCGAGCCACGGGGAGTCAGCGAGGGGCCCTGGGGGCACCCCGGCATGTATGTGGCTGGACGGATGGATGCCCTGGTGCCTCTATCGCCCTGACGGCCCCTAGGCTGTGTCGGTCACCTTTTCTGTCTCTCACTCCTTAGTAACCTCATTTATATAAACGCTTTTTAAAACACCGTTGTACATATTGCAGGTAGAAAGCTTGGCATATGGACTGTTTTTTTCTTCAGAACCAGGGATTGAACTCAGGCCCTTGCGCTTGCCAGGGAAGCAAAGCGCGTATTCCACTGAGCCATCTCCCGGCCCCCATGGCAGGTGAACTTCACTGACAAACAAATGCACACCCTGTAAGACACACCTCCACAGCAGCAGAGGCTGACACGTGGGCCTCTGTGCTTGACACTTCATCTCTGTGATGCTCATGTCTTTCCCTCTTAGAGGTGCTGTGTTCTGCCTCTTGTCGTAATGCAGGCAAGTGGGAACATGTTCCCCACTGCTAGCTGCAGTTTCCTGTGTTCTCCTGACGGCAGTGAGTCGACTGATCCCCGTCAACAACTCGCCTTGGCTTCCCACAGCTGTGAGCAGCGCTGCCGGAAGCCGCAGTCGCAGGAACCCTTGCTCCTGTTGTGCACATACGTTTTTACACATTTGTCTGATTTATCTTTAGAAGATGACTTTTAGACATAAAACATGTTTTGAAGACTTTCGGGAGGTCTTGCCAGAGCACCAGCCCACCCCTTCGGCCCCGCCTTTGCCCGTGCGGCAGGGCAGAAGTGTGCATGTGCGTGCTTCGCTTTCACACGCTTCTCTTTGGTGCAGAAGCAGTTGAACAGCCATTTCTTGTGTGAGTAGTCACACCGAGGACGTTTAGCAGAGGCTCTGCCTGTTTTCTACCTTAAAAGCTATCTTGTTATTAATCGTTTAAAACACCTTTAGATGAACTGTCACACAGACTCTGAGGTTTACCAAGGGAACTTAGGGTCGACCACAGAGTGCAGGGACGGGCGCCCACCAGGCCAAGGGGCAGCGTTCCTGTGTGGCCACAGCTACCTGTGCTCCTGCTTTCTCTGTCAGCACAGCCGCCACCCGGCCTCGCCAAGAGATGGCACCAGGACACTGCGTGGGGCACAGGTCGGAAGCAGCCTGCTGTCCGCACAGTAGGGCACTTCACAAGTCCAGCATCTCACTGTGGGCCGTGCAGAGGTGGAGAGCAGGAAGCAGGCGAAGTCGGGCTCACGACACAGAGCTTCCCTGTGAGGGAGGCCGCCAGGAGCACGCTCAGTGGCAGGGACTTCAGAGTCAGGCGATGCCATCTGTGGTGCTTCATGGCAGGACTGTGGCTCTTCCTGCACGTGGCTCCAGCCCAGTGCTCCGGAGACGCAGCTCTTCATTTCTGCCATGATGGAAGCCTCACATGGCGTGGTTTTGCCACTTGGGGAACAGCGCAGTGTCTGGAGACTTTCTCAGTAGCAGGCTGGACATTGCCAAGCGCCCTGCAGAGTGCAGCAGGGAGGCCCGGCAGTATGGAGTTGCGCAGTGGACAGCGTCCCTGCCACTGAGTGGAGCAGCTCAGCCCAGGGGCGGCTGGGTCAGTGCAGCAAGGGCCGTGGTCCTGAGCGCAGCTGCTGGGGCAGCGTCTGCCACGTGTCCCTCTCTGACTTCTGTGCTTTTGCTCATGGGGTTTTTAAACAAGCATACAAAGAAGGTTGTGTGTTTCTGTTTCCTGGGCAAAGTCATCTAACCATGTAAATCTGCTTTCCAAACTCTGGACAAATCACAGCACTGCTGGTGCACATAAAGTCGAATCCAGGTGTCTGTGCTTCATGGCACGGCAGGCAGTACTGTCCTCGCTCACTCTCCCCTCTGTCTACCTTGGTGCTTAAGCCTGCTGAGATCCCAGACACCACTGAGCTTCATACTGTCGGCATCTTCGCAGTGTGGACGAGGGCTGGCATGTTGGCAGGTAGGGTGCACCCCCAGGGAAGATGTCGCAGGGCTGGGACCTGGAGGGAGAGCTCAAGGACGAGGAAGCAGATGCTGCGGAGGGAGCAAAGATGTGGGAGGTGGAGCCTGGAGGATGGTGACACCTGGCAGGGGTGGGGACTGGGGGTGGGATGAGTCCCTGGAAAGCAAGGGCAAGGGGAGCTCCCTGCCGGCAGCCAGCAAGCTGAGGAACAAGCCCAGGATGGTGCTCAACCCGAGCCCTGACTGCCTGCCTAGAAGACAGGGCCGAGAGGCTGGGAGGCCAGCACGTACGACCGGCTGGGCCACACACCTCTGGGCGGATGGCGTGCGAAGAGCCTCGTGCAGTCTCAGAGCCGCCCGCAGGGCACTTGCTCGTGCCCACTCTGCTCCCTTCTTCCCTCACCGACCATGCCCTTGTCTGAGCTCCTGAGTGTGGGAGAGCTCGGGCCTGAAGGGCTCCATGGGGCTCGAGTGCGGCCACCAAGAGCTGCTCAACCTGGCCCCGCACAAGCAAGGCCCCACAGCTCTTCCCTGGAGTGTTCTCACGGGAACACAGCCCAGAGGCTGCACTCTCCCTGAGGCTTGCGATTAAGAAGCATACAGGTGTGCAAGTGAACAGTTAGAGCTCCGGCAGGCTGGAGTCAGTGGGTGCCAGCACCTGAGGAGATACATTGTAACCTAAGGCAATCTGCTTCTAAAACATCATGCCTTCCCATAAAAACACGCAAAGTAGACTTTCTTCCAAAATGATGAAGTTCACCATGCCATGTGCTGGTTGGCCCTTCTGCCTGCAGACCCGTTACTGCCACCCACGGGCAGCACGCCGGCCCTGGGTAGATAGCTCTGTGTTGCCTCGAGGAATGGTTAGGGTGTGGTTGGTGCCCACAACAGAGCAGCTGTTAGTGTCTGGCAACTTGGGAAGTCCAGGGTGTGCTCAGCTGGTGTGT